CCCCCCCCAACAACAATAAACAAACAACCCCAACCCAAACAACAACAAAATAGCAACAACAACAACGGCAACAACAGCAACAACAACAACACAACAACAACAACAACGCAACAACAACAACAAAACAACCTTAGTTCAAGAATGCCCCTGTAGGAATTAGAACCAAGGCCTTCCGTTCTGTGGTCCAACTTAAAGGCAATGAGCTAACCGAGCGTCCAGTGCATTTAGATTAGAAATAAATTAGGTTAGTTAACTTAATTTGTTTTTTTGTTTTGGTAAGTATTTTATGGCACCTGCAACTGCATAAAGTCATATGAGCCCGCGGGACACATAACATTTTTCTAGTTTGGTAGGAATTAATTTTGAATTTTGCTCCGGTGCCTCTGCTGAAGCCCACTCTTATCGATTTTGGACCATCAAAGGATGTTAAGGAGCGCAACTTGTGCACGGGACCTCCGAGATTTTTCGCCTTTATCCGAAAAGGCTAGATCTAGGTGTTAGACCTGGCAAAATGCACAGTCTCATCCACAAGCTTGTTTATTTGATTGAGGAAAAAGAAGCACACTGATCAAATTTGAATTATCTTAATTTTTATGCCTGTGTCTATGAGTCTAGGGGTTTATTTGACGGTGACGATGTTCTCAACCTATGGAAGGCAAGCAGTAATTATTTGATTATGAAGGCGTTTCGCACACAAAAGTAAACAGAATACTTGGACAAATGTATCACCAGCAAACCACCCCAAGAAGCTTTAAAAATGATCCCCTATTTTTGCCTCCTCAGGGATAGCGTAGCACATATCAAAGATGCTAACTTAACTTTGGAGACAAACCTTGAAGTCATGCAGAATGTGACTACAGTGTTGAATGACAGCTTCCCAAACACTTCTATTTACGCGTCACTTGGCAACCATGACTTCTACCCTAACAACCAAGCTTCGGCCGAGATGGAGGAAATGTACAATAGAGTTTCCGACATGTGGGGAAGTTGGATCGAGGGAACGGCTCAAAGGGAGCTGTTTAAGAAAGGTTTGTAAAGGAGAAAAGCAATTGAAGAGACGCCTTATTCAGTCCAAAATCGTTTTACCGCTTTTCTGCATGGCCTGGGAGACTTCTGATCTCACCTTAACCCTTTTCTGCATAATTTAGGAGAAGTCTGAACTCACCCTAACATTTTTAAGTATAACTTAGGAGACATCTCATTTTACTTTAACTCTTTTTCTGTATAATATCGGAGATGTCTGATCTCACCGAAACACTTTTCTAGGTAATCTGGGAGACGAAAATGAGTTTAGGCTGAAAATCAAACTGATTTAATTAAATTTAGTTTCAGTAAAAGTTTTACATCGTTTGCCATACAGTTAGGTTATATAAATCTAGATTTAAGTCTCGAAGATTAGAAGTGTTATAAGCGAGTAGCAGAAAAGAAGGAGGAGAGATAATGGCAAAAAATGTTTGATAGAAAGGAAGGAGCAAACCACACCAGAACGCCTGCCAACCACCCACAGTGAAACTAACTAAAGCATGTGTACCAGAAGAAGAAATTAAGAAAAAGTAGGCTTTAACCCTTAATGGAATGAAATAAATACAGTTGAGTGTGTCCGAAACGACCGTCCATTGTCAGGAGAAAAGTGGTCATCTTAGACAGGTGGTTATCTTGAACAGTGTAATATATTATAGAAAAACGGAAGGGGGGCGGTTGAGAAATGATTGCTTGTACAGGTGATTCTCTTGAACTGGTGGTTGTTAGAGCAGGTTCGACTGTATTATATCTCGAATTGACTTACAATACGTTATCATTCGTATTTCGCCCTCACAACACTACTGGCTCAAAAAGTCGGTGGATAAAGGAAAGGAAGGTCAACTATCGCTTATCTAAAGATCTTTTTGTATGGAAAAGAATAGCGTTAAGAGTGCCTGAACAATCCATTAAAATTTTTAAATTTTTTTAAAAGAAAAGTATCCAAGTGATCTATGTTCATGGATTCTGTCTGAGTGTTTAAAATGAACGTTTTCTCATGGAGCTGTCTCTGCACTAAAACTTATCTTGTTTTTCTTGCAAATGCATGCTTCTTTTCCACTCGGAAAAAAAAACTTTCCTTTGTTTTCATGTTATGCGTTTCCCTTCATCGAAAGTCCAACAAATAACAGTGAAATAATTTCACATCGGCAATGTGACTAAGAATAATTTTGGTGTTTAAAAATCGTTTTTAAAAAAACAAACTTTTTCTCTTGTTGTCGAAATCCTAAGCAGATTTCTATCTGAAGTGATGTCTGTTGTGGCATCTGTTATAGTGTGATCAAAAATTCGTGGCGTAACTTAAATACCCCCTTTTAACTATTGAACATAGATTCTACAACGTTTGCACAATGACTTATATCAATTTATCTTAACTGATGAATATTTTCCAAAAACAATATGTACACTGTATTCTAGAAAATTCCTTTCATAAAAAAAATCCCAAGTCGATGGTTTCTACAGCTTTTAAAAAGTTTACAGCTCTGGCAATATCGCTTTTAAAAGCAAGTCTGTCATTGTTTTCTAATCGCCACTTTATGCTTATCGAACGCATGTTTTGAGTACCTTTATTGCAAAAAATCTGTTCACTATAAAATTAATTTCTTGTGACAAGTTTTGTCACTAAAAAGTGTCATTAGTGAGCTGTGACGTAGGCCATATGCGTATACAAAATGTGTGCAAGAAACGGAAAATGCTGTGAACAATCCCATTTTCCGCGGGATGGAGATGTATAGATCTAGATCTAGTACCGGTATTTTATATAAATTTATGAAAAAAAAGTTTTTAAAATCTAGCCTCAATTATTGTGGGAAAATATGATTAAGTTAAGACAAATTGATACAAACTGCTGCGCAAAGTATGAGTGACGGTGATTTAGCCATCTTACCATCTAGATTGCCGGAAAAGTTCTCTCTTCTCTCTTTCGCCATCTTACCACTGTCTGTCTGTCTGTCTGTCTGTCTGTCTGTCTGTCTGTCTGTCTGTCTGTCTG